TTTAGTTATAAGACTATCCTATAGTATGTATGGTTTTTTATTCTTATTTTCTTGACAAATTGACAATTGAAATTTAATTAATCTAATTGATTTTCATTGCAAGTAATTAAATTTTAATGTATGAAAACTAAAATTACAATAATTAAATCTTAATAAAATATTTAAAAAATTCAAAAATATTAATAATTTAATGACATGAGAAGCCATGTCCAACTTCAATATCTCTGTGGAATCCATTCTAATTAGAGAACCGTTAATTTTAACCGAATATTGAAATGGGAGTTAAACAAGGGCTAATTCGCCACCGCTCATGAGTTTAAGGGGTCAAGTGCTACTGATTTCAGTTGAGGGGCTTTTTTGCCACCTCTTGACATGTTTAGGGGTTAATTTGCATGATTCGCCCTTTCACAAATTCAAAACCCTACCTATTCCCAGCCCCACCACCTGCCCCACGCCTGTCCATCCCCTTATTATTACTACATTTTTTTCTTTTTTTTCTGGTATCTCCATTTGCCTCTTTCTTCCTGGCTTCTCTCCCCTTCTCAACCACCGCAGAATCGATCAGCTCGAAACTTTGCCGGGGTGGTTTCATCTAGATGCAGCACCTTGGCGTTTCTCATCTCGGTATTGCCGTTATTTCTTGCATTTCTTTTTTTATTTTTTTTTTCTGTTTTTTTATACTCTATCCGTTCCATTTTAGCACTTGTTGTTAAGGATTGGTCAAAACTTTTTAGTTGTGTTAAAAATAACAAATCCATTCTTAATTAAAAAAAGAAAAACTTTAGTATATCTGTATATAGATTAGAGTAATAGAGAAGAAAAAAAGAAGTAAAATAACTAGCATATTATAGGGCATATAAAGAGTGAGAATTAAATTAAGGGTTTCACACGCATAAAAGTGTGTTTTTTTATCCATTAAATTATTCTTTTGTGAGTATCATAGTCTTTTGTTTATAAAATTTTTCTAGCTATTTATTATTGTATTAGACACATAAAAAATCTTACTAAGTGTTGGGTGGAATAAGTGTTATCAATCTTCTAATTTATTATTAATTATATTAATAATTAAAAAAAAAA